AATTAATCTAACTTACCTTTTTTAATTGGGCATCTAAGATACCTGTGGCAAATAACGCCATGCACCTAATAAGGTATTAATCGTTTTAGGAAATCGACTTATAGGACCATTCTTGTTCGACGACAACCTAAACGGACAGAGGTCGCTAGAGCTTTTGTGAAACCAAATGGTGCTGGCTTTACGAACTATACTACAACTATTTAAAACTGTAATGACTCATACGCGTGATCAACACGTGATCAGAGCTCGATCCCGGCTTCCTTCCAGTACAGCCGTATAGCGTACGACATATGTCGTTTCTGTGGCTTTGCGGTGGTCAACAACACAGACAGAGATGGAAATAATGGCTGATTGTTCTCCGCCGGTAGAACCAATGAAATCAAAGACGCGCCTCGACCGGCAGACTCATAGGCGTCGGCAACGGATTGGAACGTGTTTCGTTGAGCGATCGCATATTGTGTGTTTTTATAAGAATTGTTGTGTGATTGTTATTGTTGTGGTTTCTGTGGTTACTGTTTTGGTTATACTTAACCATGGAGAGTACAAATGGCATAAGGGGAAGTACTGAAAACCAGGAAACAAGTAGACGGCTTCGTAAAGCACTGAAGAGGGACGCGAAAGAAATCGTGCTCAACGTGTTCAATTATCTGAACAGAACTATGTCGTAGGGAGATGCACCCGCGCGTTGTGAAAGTATGACAGGCGTTCCAGAGTGGACCATTCGCAGGGTGGTGCATGAAAAGAAGAAAACTGGAGCTACTACTGATCCAAAGTTTAATTTGAAGGGACGAAAGGCCGTTAAATTGGATGACGATAGCAAAATGGCGTTAAGGCGAACCGTACATTCATTCTTCTTTAGGAATGAGATACCAACCCTCAAGGCTGTACATGCAGCGATCAAGGAAAATTAAATTATACCCCAAATGAGCGTCGAGGTAATGAGGAAATCCCTGCACGAAATTAATTTTCGTTGCGAAACGCGTAATCGGAAGTCAGTATTGATGGAGAGACCTGAAATAGTCGCCTGGCGTCGAAAATACCTACGCGAAATGATTGAATATAGGCGACAAAGCAGAAAAATCTATTATTTGGACGAGAGATGGGTAAATGCAGGTCACACAGTTAAAAAAACCTGGATAGACAAAAACGTAGTGAGTAACCGACAAGCAAGCATTGAAGGTTTGTCAACAGGTCTTCGTGGACCGAGGGAAAGGTCAAAGATTGATCGTAACTCATATTGGTAGCGATAGTGGCTTTTTAGAAGAGTGTGACTTGATTTTCGTCTCTAAGAAAGGAGGTGATTACCATGACGAAATGAATGCCAGCTGCTTCGAGAGCTGGTTTCAAGGGGTGCTTCAGCGAGTTGAGGTCAAATCGTCATGGATAATGCTTCCTACCATAGTCGTCGAGCCGAACGTGTACCGACTATGGGATCTCGAAAAAGTGACATGCAGCAATGGTTGCGCGAAAAAGGAATCCCGTTTGACGATTCATGTGTGAAAGCGGAATTGTATGAAAAAATTAAACAGCACAAACCTGCGAACATTAGTTACGTGACTGATGAGATGGCCCGTCAATGTGGTGTCACTGTGCTGCGGTTACCGCCCTACCACTGTGAACTGAACCCAATAGAGCTCATCTGGGCTCAAGTGAAGGGTTATATTGCGCGCCATAACATAACCTTCAAATTACCTGACGTTAAGGTTTTACTTGAGACTTCCATACAGCTAGTAACGCCCGGAGCTTGGCAGAGTGCTATCCGTCATGTTGTGAAGGAAGAAACAAAAATGTGGCAGCTTGACCACCACATCGACACCATCATAGAGCCAGTTATAGTCAATTTCAACGAGGAAAGCGATAGCGACAGTTTATTACTGTCAGATGTAAGTGGAAGCGACGATGAATAAAGGTAATTCCCAAATTTTTGACTTACAATAAGTTTCAAACCAGTCTTTATTAAGCATGTGACAAATCTAGTTCACCCATGTTAAACATTCATACCCCGCCTATGAACAGCCGACTACTGGTAGTTAAGTGATGTTCACGTGAACATCGATGAGTCATTACAGTTTTAGGTAGTTATAGTATAGATCCCCTCACCTATCGCCCTTGGATTTCTACCTTTGGGGTCACACAATGAATAAGGTCTATGAATTTGATCCTCCGGCGATCATAGAAATCCCGAGACAAGGAATTTTAAGCATAGTTAGAAAGATTAACAGAAATAGCCGGCTATCGAAAGCACCAAGTTTCACCTAAAACTTCCCCGTTTAACCGTTGCTGTAGGTACAACAGGAGCCGAGATCCCTGTATAGAGAAGCAAATCTGGGACACACTGTATACAGGGAAAACCAAATTTGTCTGACGGCTTGAGTTGAATGTGTACGGGAGAGAAGCGTGTCTAGACACATATGTTAGACAGAAATAGAAGCCGACTGGATAGCAAAGCGCGTTGTCTAGCAATGCTGACGCAACACTATGCTGCGTTGGCGACATGTTACATCGTTCCTTGAATTAAGATTCATGCTGAAAATATGCGTTAGTTTATTCTCTACAACCAAATAATAGTTTTATTTTGAGCGTACACATTTTAGAATTGTGTATACAGAGTGTTCCTTAATGATATGCGAATATTTAAGGGTGTGAATCCAATGAAAAATTAATGTTAGTTTGCTTTATAAACGATGATCCAAAAATGTTTCCTTACAAAAACTCGGGGTGTTGAATTTTTAGGAAAAAAAATGAAAATTAATTAATATTTTCAAAACCGCTTCAGATATTTCACTGATATTTAGTACGTAGTGAAAGTTAATAAAGTTGCATATATTTCAATGCAAAAAAAATTTTTAGCTTTAACAGTGGCGTGCGTACGGGTACTGACCATTGGTGTACCATTTTTTTCTTAAAAAATAACGAAGTCAATAGCCGTACGCACGACACTGTTAAAGCTAAAAATTATTTTTGCATTGAAAAATATGCAACTTTATTAACTCTCACTACGTACTAAATATCAGTGAAATATCTGAAGCGGTTCTGAAAATATTAATTTTTTCCTAAAACTTCAACACCCCGAGTTTCTGTAAGGAAACATTTTTGGACCATAGTTTATAAAGCAAACTAACATTAATTTTTCATGTAGATGTACACCCTTAAATATTCGCATATCATTAAGGGACACCCTGTATACGAATTGGAATATAATGTGCCCAGTCTCTCAGCGTCACGTATGAACCACAATACAGAAAGAAGAAAAAATGTGTACACACTAATTGATAATCAACTGTCGCGACAGGTACCAAAATCTCCACTGTCAGCATATTTTGAAGTACCCATCTCAAGGTATCCTACATGATAGCAAGCAAAGGGAATTTTAAATAACCAATAATATCCTGTAAGAGATAAAAAACCACGAAAGACCCGCCTACAAGCCATACACCTAGCAGAGCGAAAGTAGAATATTCCGCAGACGTTAATCGTATTGGTTGACCAATCAACGTCAAACATTTTTTGTAGGACTCTATATCTGTTCACTGATAAGAGCGTTCCAACGAGTTCTTTTCTGTTTTGCGAGAAAAGTGTGCAGGAATAAACTCTTCGATTTGTATTGGTGGAGTTAGTATGTTTTTTATTTATTTGCATTTTGCAGCTATATTTTGCAAACAATAACCGTCTTGCTTACAAATCAACCATTTCTTTGTGACTAATCCTTTCTGCCGATAAGAGCACCGGAAAAAATTTGCTTAAACTTGTCCATTTTTATTAAGAGGTAAAAATCGTTTGCACCTATTTAGTGTTGCAAAAAAAACGATTTTTTTAGATAAAATAAAAAAATTGTTCGATTAAATCGTATTTTTTTTTTATTTCCATCAATTTGTACTGCCTAACCTTCAGTTTGCTACTCACTCCGGCTGAATATTTCGTCAAGTAGATCGTCTCAGTACTTATGACGTTTTCTTATACAACTGGCATGAACTGACAAACAGACATAAATGAGAAACACGGACGTGTCTGATGCAGCAGGAAACGTGAACCGAAGTTTAGAGTCAATCTTCTTGACGCGATTTTTTCGCAGTGGATATGCTCACACAATTTAATCTCTCTCGACTTCTGTATTCAGACTTTACCTTCTTATCAGCTTGATCATTAAAACAATGGATACTTTAAGAATACTTCATAACAATTTGACATTTCACACCTGAATAATAAATATAAAGTATTTGTGTACCAACATAACGCGCAAAACTCATTTTTGGATCGGATTCAAAAATCGAAAAAGTGCGACAGAAATAAATAGATGCAATCCAAAGAGCGATCTTTTTTATGCCTTACTCGTTAAAGTTATTTTCTGACGAATAAATCATGGCCTCCTTAGAAAAAAACTAATACATAACGTTACGTGTGATTTTTCTGTGATACGAGGGTGGTCCCAGAAGTACCCGGCTTGACCTAGAGATGGCGATAATTGTTTGAAAAATATCATTGTATTAGAAAGTATGCCACCTATAAAGCATATGTGTCAAGTTTGAAGGGGACCACCCTCGTACTCCAATCTTTTATGCACTTGTGAGACATCACTCGACTGGAAATTTTACTCTTTTCAAAAATCCAATATGGCGGGCATAAGAAAAATGTGAGTCAAGGCGGGTTGCTGGAAAACAAAAGACGATTGAGACGTTTCATACATGCTATCATATTTTTCTTAAAAAAATGTCCGAATATCACATTTTGACAGCTGTCAAATTAACCGTTTTGGATTTACTGGCAAAAAACAAATTCCGCCATTTTCGGTTTTTCGCTGATATTTTCAAAACCAATCGTAAGTCTGTAGGCGGGTATCGAGAGTACTAAGTTTCTGGGTCACACTGTATACGTTGAAAAAATTGATTTTCAACTTTCTTTTTCCTTTCCGTGGAAAATACCGAGTCAGCCTACATGATATCTGTATATTTGTTCGTCTTGATTGTATCGAGATGGGGATAATAAAATATGAAAATAATTGTATGTATAAGCTTTATTAAGTTTAAACTAGAGATATATAATAGTGATATTACATGCCAAATTTAATATCGGTATTGCAAAATATACCAATCGATGCTCAAACTTATTCTTTGAATAAATTAATCGCAAAACGTTCTATTGTTTAAATCAATAAAACAAAACATTATTTTGAACCTTATATATTATTTTTAAATGATCGATAACTGGTGTATACACAATAAAAAAAATTACTCCAGCCACTTTATATAACTAAAGTTTTGCAAAGTCCACTGATCAACTGATCGTCTGATTAGGTCCTTAATATTTAATAATCTGTTCCACCTAAATAAAATGTAAACAATCACTAGCTATAAACCTGGTTTCAAAGAGAATGACAACTTTGGTCTGGAATTGTTCTTGCCTAGAATCTTCTTTTGCTCTTCTTTCGTCCTTTTCTCCTGTTCTTTCTTCAATCGTTGCCGTTCTTCGTCTATCTTCCGTTGTTCCTCTACCATTGCTAACCTTTCTTCTGCCTGTAAAATGAGCAAAAAGTGAAGTACTTTTAGCAAAGCTGAATCAAAGTTCAACGTAGATTTCAACTAATCCTAGCAATTTCTCAGCTTGGAGAGAACCCTGTACATGGACAACGTAGTTAATTTTTATTGAAAAATCACTTATTTAATTTCGTGGAACTTGAGAGAACTAGGACAGCCCTTCCATAAGCTACAGGGTGTCCAGTCGTAAAGTTCACATTTCAAAGTATACGCGAGGAAGTGGGGAGGGGTCTTGATCGACGCGTTCGGCGTATGGGTTAAATAGTTACAATGAAACGTTGGACCCGAGCCCAACGTGTTTTGCTATCGAGGCTTTTAAGACTGGTAATTCCTACAATCAGTCTATGCTTTAAAAGAAAGTGATTACGTGTTACCGAAATCTTGTGTTGAACGGGTGTTGAATCTGAAGCAAAATTGCAGATATTGGGTACCAATTAATCCAAAAGAGAAACATCAACAACAGCTACATAGTCCAAAGGTCTTTGGTGCGCCATATCCTCTAGCGGTATTATTGGGCCGAATTTCTTTGAAGATGAAATTCCGAGCGATACATGATTGACACTTTTTTTTGCTCCTATTGAAAGAACACAACGTCGATTTAACAGAAACACAATGTTTCAACACGAGGGGGCCACTGCCCGTACTTCCGGAGAATCGATCGTCACGGTGAAAGCACTTTTTCCTCAAAAAGTTATATCGAAGTTTGGAGATATTCACTGGCCTCCTAGACACCCGACCTCACGCCATGCGATTATTTTTTGTGGGGTTATCGATAGACGAAAGTGTATTCCTATAATCCACGAACACTGGAGGAGCTCAAAGACAACATTCAACGGGAAATAAACATCACTCCGGAACTCTACAAGAGAGTGTTTCACATTTTCCGAGCGCGATTAGAACCGTATGTCAGAAGGGATGGCAAATATTTGGACGGAATGATATTCACGAATATGTTGATAGTAATAAATATTTTCTTTTCATCGAGTTTTACTGAAACCAAAAAGTGGACTGTTCCACTGGACACCCTGACCAATATTTACAGCGAGATCAAAAATAGCGAGTGAATATTTCCTATGAAAATTGAGAAAAAGTGAGATGGATCGAAAAAAGTAAGCCGCCCGTTTCCCTGTAATACACAATCATAAGCATTCAGATGCGATCTTAATACTCGACCGTATTTCCTTCGTCACATCGCGTTCACAAGCATACTATTTTTTTAGACGACCACACTGCTTGCAACCCACAAAGCATGCTGTAGAGGGTTTAGGTTAGTTTACGTACCAGTTTTTTCTGGGCTTCCTCGATCTTTCTCTGATTTTCCTCCAAAATCTTTTCGACGATCTCTTGCTTTTTACGCTCTTCCTCCTATAAAACACGAAACACAATTAGAAAATCATCAACAATCCCCCTACTAACCCGTATCCTCATGCCAATAGTCCAGATCAAAGGCAACATGTCATAACACATTGCTTTTGATACAAACACTGACAACTGAGTCAACCTAGCACTTTCCATTATCAATTATGATATAATCAAGTATCAAGATTTCAATATTTGATCGTTCTAGATACAGGTTAGATTAATTTTATTATTGTAAATTAAATATCAGTTTCTAGATTAAACACACATTTTATCATTATTGACAATGTACTTCTAAATCCAAAAAAACTCACACTGGTCGTTAAGTTAGATATTTAATGCAGTGGATTTAAAAGAGTTGCACAATTCCGTTCAAGCTTTTTGGATGAAGAAACTCGTAGCTAAGTATGAACCACATCAAGAAAAATTGGATTGAATTCCATCCATTCAATATTCTTAAAAAGTAAACTCTGCCAAAGACCAGACACAACTAGAAATGTTACATTTTTGTTTGAATAATAAAGATTGAAACAGTATTGTATCATATGACTATTTAACCTAGTTCGATCACATTCTTAAAAATCGTAATGTTTCTCCCCAACGTGTAAATTCCCTGGTACATTTTTTCACAATTACTAGTCTAACTTTATGTAGTAAAGGTTTTCACATAGAGACAAAATGTATTTTTTTTTTGAGCATACCGTATAGTTTTCAATTATATGAATACTCGGTTGTCTCAACCAACTATTAATGGTAGCCCAGAAAAAAACTCATAAGTTAGAAATTCTTAAGAGGCATAACAGACAAAAAAGGAGCAAAAAGTAGTGATTTCTTGAAAAAACCTAAAGTGGCAATATGTCGAAAACTAGAAGACTTCTACGAAGGTCATGTTGATTTTATCTGATTGACCTGATTGGCGTGTTATTTCTGGGACACCCAGTCTATAGGAGATACAGTAATAGACAAAAGTATATAGACAAATATGAATATTTACCTAATCTAGAGGAAAAACCGTAAGGTCCGATTAAAATTTGCACGGTTGCATCTTGATTGGAGCATCGGTGACTGGAAGAGGGCATGTTTCAGTGACGAATCAAAGTTCAATATGTTTGGATCAGATGGTGTTCATTACGTCCTAATGGACAAAGATTGAACCCCCAGTACACTTTGCCCACTGTCAAACATGGAGCCGGGTCTGTTATGGTTTGGGGGTGCTTATCGGGGTTTGGGATGGGACTTTACATAGAATAGATGGCATTATGGATAAGTTTGTATACACAGACATACTAAAGCATGTCATGTTACCCTATATGGAAGACAATATGCCCTTAAGACCAATCTTCCAGCAAGATAACTTCAAATCTCGCAAAGAAATTCTTTCTGGATGAAAAAATACCAGTTCTCAAATGGCCTTCACAGTCTCCCGATATAAACCCCATTGAAAATCTATGGGAATACTTAGATAAGCAAATACGAGATAAAAATTATTCAAACAGGGATGAACTTTTTGCCGCTTTAGAGCAAAAGTGGTGACAGATTTATGAATCTTATATCAAGAAACTTCTACAATCTATGCCGAGACGATGCCAGTCGGTGATTGATAATAATGGTTATGCAACAAAATATTAACACAAACATGGTTGGTTTTCTATAATTCGATGAACATTGCTTCTTTTTTCTATAATTGTTTTGCTTTGTCTATATTTTTCAATTAGTTTTTTATTGACGGGGGTCTACAGTATATTCAGATAAGAGATAGACCGGACATAAACAAGACCACGTGATCATCGAACGCTGTAACATTCGGCAGGGACGTATTAAGAGTCACGCAGTACATATTTTAGATAGTAGATGCTGCTTTGCGTAACTTTGTAGTAAATTAGCACAATTCGATGTGTATACGATTGGTGATGGATATAGGATCATGTGGGGGTGGGGTAAGAAATATATAATGATGTAAATATACATAAGGGTTTCAACATTTTCGCTTCGATTTCCAGCTTCGGATGCCGCCTGATGTTTGGTGAAATACAGTCGAATATAATCTCAAAATGGCGTTTAAATTAGCCTAAATTAAAAATAATCGTATATCTCTTAAAATTGCTTTTAGAATATTGATTAGTATATTTTGTGATTTCTAGGTAAATATGTAACCAAATTAAAACGTTCAAAACGTAAAAAAATGTGCATGGTTGAACATTGTCAGAAAGTAGATTCTAGAATAGGTTTTGCCAAAATGGGTTCAAAAATGTCAATAATTAATTAAAAAATACAGTAGCTTTATAATTACTTATAACTTACCGAATTTGATGAACGACATCTTTTATTGGAAAGATGAGCTTGATGAGCTTTCATCATCGCTACTGCCTGAAGCACCAACGTCAATAATGAATGGCTCGACTTGTTCCTCTAAAATATTGTCCAGTTCCCACATTCACTTTTCAACTTTGTCTTTCACGTGCTTAATACAGTTTTCCCATTTTTGCGCTGTTATTAATTCTAGTACTACTACTCTAAGTTGTATTGTGCTTAGCTATATAATTTTTAACCTCTGCCCATATGAGCTCAATGGGATTGAGCTCGCAATGGTATGGAGGTAAACGGAGCACAGTTTTATTTTGACTTGCTGCCATTTCGTCAATGGCGTATTTTTGATATTCCGCCTTGTGATCCTTGACAATTCTTAATAATTGTACTTTCAGCATTGCTTCTTCAAAGTTGATATTTTTCGAGCGGACCCAATTTTGAACATCAACTTTCCTTGAAGCCGTTGTTGGGACCTTCTCCATTCTTCGAGAATGATAAGGCGCATTATCCAACACAATTACTAAGTTCGGTAAAATTTTTGAAAACCACTGTTCAAACGATTCGCCATTGATTTCCTCGTGGTAATCTCCAGTTTTCTTAGACTCAAAGCACCACAGACTGTCAACAACAAATCCATCCTCACTGCCAATATGGCAGATAATGAGCCTTTTCCCTTTACCTGGAAATCGAAGTACTAACTGGTGTAGATTTATTTCAATAAGCGAACCTTTTTCAAATGTTTTCATCACATTCAGCGAAAAAACATTGAGACATGAGTATCAGATTGCTATAATTGGGATCATTTAGTCATATTGAAAAAAAGAATATTGAACGTCGTATGATTACTCAGCGCTTTACAATTTAATTTAAAGTTATAAACCTTTAAAAAATGAATGATCAGGAACCTGAAATACGCGCAAATATTAATATTAACAAATTATAACTTTATAAAGCTTAAAGTATGAATTAAAATGATTAGAAATATTAGGAACGGTACACAATATAAAACTTAGTAACTTTTTTTAAGTTTATAATATTCGACATATTTTAAGATTATATTAAAAAATTATTGAAATATCGAAAACACATAAAAACATGGCTTAAAAAAGTTCTAACAAATGAAAATGACAATAAAACATCCACGCATTTTATCGAAAGTTATAAAAGTTTTGTTACTTGTAATATGTTTTATCTGCCCCCTGGAATTAATGTTTAGAACCTTGTTCCCAAGGTTTGAAAAACATCCGATTGTTGTCTATTGTCTATCTAGAAAGGCCCTCCTGGATGAAGTTACAGAATCATCAACCCATACTTTACTTGTAGTGTGTCCTGCGTTTACCCACGTTTCATCAAGGTAATAAATCTTCCTGTTTTGATTTCTATATTTCCCAATTTTTGTTAAATAATCCCTCCTCCATAGCACAATTTCTTCTCTATCCAGTAGTAAACTATTACGACCCCGTTTTTTCCATTTGAAATTTAAATGCTTCAGTAACGCATGGAAAGTTGATCGTTTGAAATTTGGCAACGTTGTATCTCCATTTACCTCCTGCAGTACTTTATCTATAGTAGGTATTTCATTCCTAAAGAAGAATTCATGCACTTTCCTCCTAATCGCATGCTTATCAGCTTCATCCAATGATTTAACAATACTTTTGCGATGTTTACTGGTCATTGGCTCAGAAAAGGTGTGATTTTTTTTGTATTGTCTTAACACATTAAACACTGATGCGCGACACACCCCAACTTTATGAGAAACCTTCACAACAATTTCTTTGATGGTTGATGCCTCGTTCTCCTCGCGCTCGATCTTATATATATTCAAAATGACCTCTTTCATTTCTGCACTCAGGTGTCTTTTTTTAGAGCGTTTCCTAGGTGGACTACAGGAGTTTACAACTTCATCGGCAGTATCTGTACTACTGGGCATTTTGCGCAAGCAGTTGATAACAATAACAATCAATAACAAGGTATAACAATAACAACGACAAACTCAACAACTTAATAAGATAACAAACGAAAACGTCCACAGAAATATCAAATTGCAATGATGCACACGACATACGTAACACGTCTGAACCTGAATGTGACTCTGCCTTGATACGACTGCTCTGCCGCTCGGCATAGGCATTTAATTGCGAATTGACCAATGGGGGCTCCTGTTTTACGTCGAGACGGCGGCGTTAGCGTGAAAATCACCCCAACCTTTTGTTTACATCCGGTCTATCTCTTATCTGAATATACTGTAATGAATTTATTTATGTATAAGAGAGTACTATGCTATAACGAATTATATATACAGGTTGGTGTATTAATAAAACATAAAATAAAAGAAATACAGCACAATATACTTTTGTCCATTACTGTATATCATGTGATATGATATATAAATACCATGATATTTTTGAACCCTGGTGAAATTTGACATGAGGTGAACATTCCTAGCGTGCGCCTGATCTTTGGCATAAAAAAGATGTAACGATACCTGTGGAAGCAAGAGGCAGAGGCAATCACCGCCATTTTTGTCCGTATCAAGAAGTGAGATCCATTGTTATGACAGCCGCCAACTGTGATGAGACTTGAGACCCGTCTTTAGCTTACATGCTACATGGCATACGGTATTATATACTGTTCCAAAAGGACGGTCCATCAGTTATTATTTTATGTTATTATTGTGAAAGAAACAGTCATATACGCATATAAACTCTGATCTACGGGATGTATAGCCGTCTATTCGCTATCGTAGATAAAAACGGCAACCCTGCTTGCAACTGTTCTGATACAGTGTTGCCATTTCGATCTTTTGTTGCTGTAATAACCTATGATGGAGCAGTTTTGATTGTTTTTAAAAACACTATTCAACTTCAATCCATCGGTTGTATACTCATATTTAGGCTTTTCATTGCTCTCTCTACTGCAACACCATACAAAACTTAACATGACATTAAATCTCAGAGAGTCGTAAAAATACTAACATTGTACAATTAAGAGAAATTAAAACATACGAGAGCGGTCCAATAAATTAGCCTACAAACCGCCTTTAAGAACCTACTACACGATAGTAAATTTCTCTTGCGACATAAGTACTTATCGGACAGCCCTCGTATAAGCGCCAGCTAATGCAGTCCTACTATTTCGAGAGTTTTTTACTTTTTTAAGGTAGGTAAACTTAGGAAATGAAAGTGTAACACAGCCATGGATTGAATTTTGTTCTTTTAGTATATAACGAGTTGACTTTTGATGATTAGTTTATAAATGCAGCTATTATACAAATAGCTGATAAGACTAAATCACAAATGCATAGATTATAACAATTATTCCTAATGCACTGAGCAGGTCGACGATCCTAACATTTTCTATGTGTTATTCCATAATAAAACATTCATAGACAAAGAATGTTTAAACTTTTTCATCGCTTTGGAATATTCCTAGTCCATTATAAAATACAGCTAGTAAATATGAGAGTATACGGATTGATTTAGAATATCTAAAGTATAACTTCTGAGTAAAGTTGGTAAGGGGACATGGGAATAGAATTGAAAAATTATATCCTTATATCTTCATATATACCTTACATCATATTTGAGCACTATCAAAATATAGTTTTCCTTAATTATAAAAATAAAAATGTTCTGAAATTCATAGCTATTTGTTGTCACTAAACTTTAAACACAAAAGAAAATTATTAAGTAACTAGTAACAAAGTAAAAACTGAAGATATTATGTATAAGTCAAAATATTCCAGTACTTTGTTTTATAATATTAAAATTTCGCTACTAAACTGTCAAGTGACACCTACTATTTTTATTTATCAGTCCCATATCTGACAGCGTTTTTAGATAAACAAATGCTTTATAGACTGATACCATCAATATTACTGATCACAATCGGAATTATACTAAGTGACATATAAATCCGAACACCCAGTTTAAATGGTTTTATTTTAATAAAAGTTGGTGAATGTATTTATCTTACTGTAAATAACAAGTGAAAAAATTTTCAGCCTTATCAGTTGGACATTCCGGTTTTTATACTGCTTTTTCTTAATTCACTAACGCTCTAAAAATGAATATTTCAGCCGCAGTAAAGAATCAACGTTGGCGGATTTTGGTTCTTGACATCCTTTACGATCGGTAACGATGCCTAGAGTACGGAGACCTGTACGATTTCGTCAACTTAGTGAGTTTGATAGGGGCCGTATAGTGGACTTCGGGAAGCTGGACTTTCTTTTCGAGCAATTGCAGTTAGAGTGCAAAGAAGTGTAGACACTGTGGTTAGGTGTTGTCAGGCATGGCTTCGAGAAGGCCGTACGCAAAGAGCAAGGGGCACTGGACGCCGCCGTAGAACAACAGACCGTGAAGATCGCCGTCTAAGATTATTGGCCTTAAGGGACCGTTTCTCCACTACCAGGTCCATTGCAAATGAATGGTTTGCAGAACACGGAAGACCTATTGGCATGCGAAGTGTTTATCGACGAATGAGAAGTTTTGGCTTGTTTTCACACCGGCCACACTGGGTCCTCCCTTTAACTCGGGAACACCGACGTAATCGCCTTGAGTGATGCAGACAACAGGCATGCACGATGGTCGTGCCAGGGTTAGAAGGCGACGTGGTGAAAGGAGGAATGCACAGTTTTTTGTTGAAAGACATGTTCATCACACTGTTGGAGCTATGGTTTGGGGTGCTATAGCTTATGGTTCCAGGTCACCTTTAATCTTCATCAGAGGTAACATGAACGCGCAGCGTTGTATCCACGAAGTTCTAGAACCCCATCTTTTACCCTATCTTGACACCCTGGCAGATCCAACTTTCCAACAAGATAATGCCCGACCACATGTTGCAAGAGACACAATAGACTTCTTTCAACATAATGATGTCACATTGTTACCATGGCCACGAAGATATCACGACTTATCCCCAATTGAGCACGTGTGGGATATGATGGGTAGGAGATTGCTCAATTTGCAACGTCCTCCTCAGACTCTAGAACCACTTCGAGAGGAGTTGGTGGTTGCCTGGAATGAGATACCACAGGAGGACATTGACCACCTGATCAGAAGCATGCCTAGGCGCGTTGGAGAATGCGTAGCACATCAGGGTGCATCCACACATTATTAAAGGTCAAAGGGCTTTAAAGCAGTGCAATCATTTTGAAATTTTTATCATTTACTTATTATGCTTCATTAAGAACTTATACAAAATTTTATTAAAATAAAACCATTTAAACTGGGTGTTCGGATTTATATGTCACTTAGTATATATAATGCTCACGACCGGTATATTTTCTGTGGAATATTTTCAAATTTATAGTGAAAAAGAAATTGAAATATTGACAAAATCGCGTCTAAATAAACATGTTAAATGTCGTGTCAATGTCTGAACATACTACTATGTAGCTCAAGTGGTTAAACGTTGAAAAAATAACAATCTTGCGAGCACTTTTTGAAAGTAACATTCATCGTTTTCATAAGGAAAAGAATATGGTTCATTTAAAAAATTTGAATGGGTCAAGTTATTTACATTGAATGAGATTTTGTTAAAGAGCTCAGGATACAGCATGTGATCATTTAAGAATTTAAACACAAACAATGAAGCATTGGGAATACTCTCTTTGACATATGGTATATTTTGGTAAAAATGAAATGCCATTTTGTTATTTCTAGCCTTTCTTTAATTGAATTATTCAATATTTATCACAACTATACTACAACTATTTAAAACTGTAATGACTCATACGCGTGATCAACACGTGATCAGAGCTCGATCCCGGCTTCCTTCCAGTACAGCCGTATAGCGTACGACATGTCATTTCTGTGGCTTTGCGGTGGTCAACAGCACAGACAGAGATGGAAATAATGGCTGATTGTTCTCCGCCGGTAGAACCAATGAAATCAAAGACGCGCCTCGACCGGCAGACTCATAGGCGTCGGCAACGCATTGGAACGTGTTTCGTTGAGCGATCGCATATTGTGTGTTTTTATAAGAATTGTTGTGTGATTGTTATTGTTGTGGTTTCTGTGGTTACTGTTTTGGTTATACTTAACCATGGAGAGTACAAATGGCACGAGTGGAAGTACTGAAAGCCAGGGAACAAGTAGACGGCTTCGTAAAGCACTGAAGAGGGACGCGAAAGAAATCGTGCTCAACGTGTTCAATTATCTGAACAGAACTATGTCGCAGGGAGATGCACTCGCGCGTTGTGAAAGTATGACAGGCGTTCCAGAGTGGACCATTCGCAGGGTGGTGCATGAAAAGAAGAAAACTGGAGCTACTACTGATCCAAAGTTTAATTTGAAGGGACGAAAGGTAATTCCCAAATTTTTGACTTACAATATGTTTCAAACCACTCTTTATTAAGCATGTGACAAATCTAGTTCACCCATGTTAAACATTCATACCCCGCCTATGAACAGCCGACTACTGATAGTTAAGTGATGTTCACGTGAACATCGATGAGTCATTACAGTTTTAGATAGTTATAGTATAGGTAGGTAACTTGACAATTTGAAATGAAAGACAAAGTTTTTCTATGACATACGATGACACTGACTGATGCTAAGTGGATTGGTATCCATGTTTATTATTTATTACTGTGTGTATTAGTATTAAGTTAAGTTAGTAGAATTTTATTATAAACTCAAGATAGGAATAAACTTTATTATTCAAAGGTTACTAAAAATTTCATGGAAAATCTGAAAATTAAAAAAAAATGGGAGTTTCCATTCAAAAATCTAAAATTTAAAGCAATATCTTATTTTTTTCACTTCATGTCAGTGATCCATATTCCAACAAAGACACCACAAGTGACATGTATATTTTTTACAAGTTTCTATCGACAGCTCCCTACAATTACATGAAAACAAATACTTTAATACATCTATTAAAAAAGCAAAAATGGAAAATGTCCCAAAAATAGACATGCTTGAGATCAACACCATGTAATAAAATAAAATACATGTCTTAATGTAAACATAGAACAAATGCTGTTGAACCAAACAGAACTCTGGGATGGTCTGATTCATACAAAAACCTGTTACAAAATACCAAAATATGTTTCTTGATAATCTGTATTACAAAATCGGACAAAATGCACATTAATAAATATACCCAACCTGCAAACAGATCCATGATACCACCTACCTGTCTACGCCTTTCTTCTTCCAATTGCTTCTCCCGTCTCCTCTCCAAGTCTTCCATCATCTCTTTCTCCATTATCCTCTTCGCTTCTTCTACCCGCTTGGTAACCTCCCGCTCGATTTCGTCCTTCCTTTTCTCCAGTTCTTCTTCGACTCTCTTCTTTACCAACTCTTCTATCCTCTTGGCAGTCTCCTCCTCGATCAGCCTCTGTTCTGCTTCTCGTTGTCGCCTCTGCCGTTCCATCTCCGCGAGGCGTTCGACCTCGTCCATTTTGCGAACTCTGTGTTTTTTTGAATGCTTTTCACGCATCATCACGTCTACGGAAGCTTCGCTGCTCGATGTGGAAGAAATTGAATGTGAACGTTTTCTGGAAAATATAAAATTATTAAAACAAACTCGGACCATCACAAACAAACACAATAATAATAAGATCAACTGTTATGTATTATTGTATATTGTTCGGGATATTGAGGTTGATTATTCTTTTTTTTTATTGTATTTTATAATCCAATAAATAGCATTTTCTTTTCATTTGTAAGTCCAGATGATGAAAGCACATACAGGTGGTTTGAACCATCTAGGTGCATCTTTCTGTCATCAGGATGTCCTTGATGAAGAGGAATTATATTGCAGTGTTATATATTTATGTGTATTTATAATTTTTGTATATGGTCTTTGTTGGATTTTATTGTTATTAAATAAATAAATAAATATCAGTCTCATTTCTTGTAGAATGCATTAGTAGCAATTCACTAGAACCAGCAAGTAGAGGCTGCTTGAAAAAGTGCCAGAATAGAAAATTCCATTGATATTTCGGTAAAAAAAGCGCAAAAGTACCAACTCCTGGATGCAAAATAGCATTTAAACTTTGTTACAGAATTGAAAACAAATAGTAAGATTACTCATTGAACAGAAAAATACTAATGTGTCAAGGACTTGAAAACGATGAGAGCCTTTAAAACAGCAACGCCTCTAATTTCAAACTGAATGAAAACGTAATTCTCACAGTTTTTATATAAAATTGTATACTGTATGTGTTTATATGAATATGACACTTCAGCATTTTTCATACAGAAACTTTACAGGGTCTTAAATGACTGAAATACCTGGACTTTACGCTTCTGTCTTTGATCTTCTCAAATCTATCGGAATTTTTGTAGCTAGAGCTTCTCTCACTAGATTTGCTTCTTTTATGATGCTTGCTCTTGTGATGTTTTCGAGGGGTTCGGCTGGGAGTCCGACTTCTAGACCGTGATTTACCCATTTTTTAATAATCACACAAACTTAACACATGCACTAAAATGTCTCACTAATACTATATTTCGAGAAATTACGTATAAATTGTAATTGAAAAATTCATATTATAATTTTACTATTTGCAGCACAACTTTGCAGCCATACGCTTGACAACTTGACATTCGTAGTTGACGTTGACATTATTGACAACTGTTAAATGACAATATTGACAGCTGAGTTTTTATCCCAATATTCTCAGCTTGGGGGCAAGGCGTCGCTTATATGATAGTGAAGACACGCCTTTTTTTATACTAGAAAAATAGGCGTGGTATAACGGTTGACTCTTCTTTTTTCCACTAGGAAAGAGGGCGTAACAATAAAAGTTTCTTTTTGTAGACACGCCTTTTTTTGACTAGAAAAGAAGGCGGGTAATGGATATTCGATATTCAATACTTTTCTTCTTTTCATACTAGACTAACTCTCTTCTGTTTTTCATGTTTTTGTGCTTTTGCTGTCAGGATTTCTCACAAATCCTCAAATTCAAAAAGAGCGAATATCATTTTAAATTTCTGGATCAAATAGTCCAAGCCTACTTCTGTGAGAAAAAATATGGTAATCAATAGAGCAAATGTATGGAAAAATGTAACTACAACTATACCCTATTTCACGAGAATTCATCACGCTTTGACGTCTACTGAGGTGAACAGCTGAACAGCAAGTGACATTTTTGTGTTGGCAATAATGAATCGGGTATAAACTTAGTAAAACTTGTTTGTGACGTTTGTTTTTTGTATGCAAGTGACGTTTTCTAAATAAAACAAAGTACGACTATGACTAAATGGAGTTGACGGATCCGTCTCATTTTTGAGACATTACTAGAAAATCAGCTGTCATTCTACCATGATAGAAACTCGCGAAATAGGGTATATGTTGAAATTACTCGGGTTGTTGGCAGATTAAACGTAAAACCATAGACTCAGTGAGTGCGAAAACCTGCATCTTGCCTTGGTTTTCAGCCATAACTTTTTTACTAATAGTCGGATCTTTTTACGTGTGGTCTCATTGTGAGGGGTCTCATAAATACCTCAAACCTAAAAAACACGTTTTTTCATTTGTTGAATTAAGTTTTCCCACAAAAATTAGTATCACCCCAGCCTATCGGTACTACCTTCTTGTACTATTTTCTCTTTGGGCAATGCCTCCACTGCACTTCTAGATTCAGGAGGTAGTAGTTTTTCCCCATTTAGCACGTTCAGTTCCCCTAATATGTTGTAATCACTGAATAAACGTACTAAATGCAGAAAATGATTTGCGAGTCTCCCCTTCAGCTAGTGAGGTCCACCCCATTTCATTGAAATAATCCGTCATTTTTTAATTAATTGAACGTCTGAGTTTAAATTCAGGGTTTGTATAAGTTTTTGCTTAAGTATGCTAAAACGCAATTGTATTATTTTTCAATTTGTATCCATTATCTTTTGACAGTGACATGTTTTTCTGTCACGATGCCATAGACAGCACAGATTTAAGAAGAAAAAAAACAGTTTACAAGTAAAATAGATTGAGCGGTATAGACTATTCAGGCCGTGGTAGAATCGTTACCCGTACGTCAAGATCTTGTCAATCATGGAACAAAAAGCTAGGGATAGACGATTATTTCTTAAGATTGAGATTCCGCAATTTTCGGACTCAAAAATTTTATGTCTGCCATTTTGCAGGTCGAATTTGGTAGATTCTGTAGATGATGGTAACAATTTTTTCCCATCATCATTTGTTACTGTCATAAAATTTGACAAATGTCATGTTGTCAGCTGTCAAATAAGGTTGTGGAATGTGGATGTTGGTTATGTAACTTAGCTTTTTCAAATGTATAAAATATTATAATAGGTAACATACACATTTAACTGATATAAAATGACCCATTGTATTACAGCCATGTACGAATACCAACTATTCAATTTATGTAAATATCGCAAATTGATAATTGATACCAATGGAAAAATACTGATCAGGAGAACTGCGTCTACGCATGTGCAGATCCAGCATTCCGGGGAGATTTTGATTTGATTTTGAACTTGAATCATACTTGAACTTATTTTGGTGTTGTCGCTTGCCGCGCTCACATTTTTTCAGGTTTACACCTTTCCGTCGAATGGGTCAAAACTAGAGGTCATTTTTTTTAGAATCCGCCGCATCCGTTTCAGTTACGTCTTTTTAAGAAACCATACAAAATGCAGTTCAAAAAAGTTACGCACGTCATCTTCGACATGGACGGTCTTTTAATCGGTAAGTTCTGATAAAAAATAATTAAAACCCTCGATCAGATCAGATTTTTATCACACTTTTTGAGATAAAAAAGTACCACACATGTTTTTATTCCAAGTTCACTTGTGATTTTTACATCAATAATAACAGTGTTAACTGGGTATTTTATCTTTATTTTATGCCCCAGTTTGTTGATAAAGTATAAAGATCCAATTTTTTTGTTTTACTGTGTCAGACAATTTAATTTTGGTGCATGCATTTGATTTCAAAACAATAATTTTTAATAGTTTCTATACATATTATGTTTTTGCAAAATGATTGTGTTTTATTCCTTTCTTGTGTGTATTTTTGTTTCAAACAGGTTGACTTTGTGCAAAATGTTGACTGTACTTTAAGGCAAGCTGCATGTACACAAACTGGTTAACACAACTTAACATAAGAATGTTTCACAATAAACTAAAACTAAACACAAAATACTCTTTGTTTGATCTTTTACATGAGCTCCAGAAGGCAAATTCCAAATGCCTGTATTGTCTTTTTCATAGGTATCCATTTCGATAGAATAACAGCTGATTATCTAGTAATATTTCAAAATTGCTTATATTGACAAATGACACATAATTCTGACAGGTCCTTCAATGCAACTGTATTTTGTTCTAGTTTTTGTGCGCTACCAATTCATTTGTACTTGTAACAACTTTCATTTAGAAAAGATGATTTGCATACAAAAATAATGTTATAAAAGCAAGTTTTATTAGATTTACCCCCAATTCATTATTGCCAGCCTAATACAAAGATGTCACTTGCTGATCAGCTGTTTACCTCAGTAGACGTCAAAAAGTGATGGATACTCGTGAAATAGGGTTTGCACAGTCGTGTGAAATATGCAAATTTTGAGGTTCAACTGTTTTCTCAGGGGTTCCAGCTCACCTTTTACTTTGCTGGCTCCCATGATATCATCATCATCAAAAGTAGTAATTGTTTAGCGATTTTTTGAGTATTGGAAATGGGCATTTTCAGTGTTTCTCAGACTTTGAATTACTTATTATTCAGAAAAGCTCAACTTTAAACAAACATTATTTAGAGCCCTTATAGTCAGAATCATCCCAAAACCCTAAAAAAACTTTGTCTTTGTTTTTTCTTCACTAATATTTGTTTTTATTTTCTAAAAAAAATTGTAATTTGGATTGCGAAAAAACTCTGTTATATCTACTGTTAATCATTGTAATATCCTTTACCAGCCTTGCTTGGATTAGCTCATTATAAGACGTTGGTTTACGAAAATACGACCACGTTAAAAATGCTTACAAACCGCTTGGGTGGATGAAGTTTGGGTATTTGACTATTTTTCATTATCTAGCCCTTCTCTATAAACTGCTCGCAACTGGTAAACTCAAGTATCTCAGAGGAAAACTTATTTTGACATGTGAAATTCACAACGTTCATTTTCCTATAATGCTGCTAGTCTTTACAATAGTATTCTTGTTGATTACAAAACCTTGAATCTGTATTATTTCCATAAGCATGTTAGATTGTATTTACAGAGCTCTACGTTATAATTTTTCTTGTATTTGTTAAGTTTTTTTTCTTAATAATACACATGTGAGTTATCTATGAGCACTTTGCCTATGTGTTTGAAGACATAAACGATGGGGTGATAGTTTTTGTAAGAAATAAACTGCAATATAATCATGATACATTCACTTTCACCGATGGAATCAAAATTTTAAACATAATGATCCAAATTAACCATAACAAAATTGAGGTATCTGCAATTTATCGTCCGCCATGTTCAGAACCCCACGAGTTTTTAAAGAATATCGATTTTTTTTTTCAAAATCAAAATAAAGTTCATTTAAAGCAACATATTTTCTTGGGAGATGTCTATATAAATATTTTGGACGATGATCCCATCACAAATGAATACTTGAATATCCTATCAAGTAACGGATTTCTGTCCTATATAAACCTACCTACAAGGTCCATCAGTGGCACATGTATAGATCACTGCTTTGTGAAAGACCTATCCAACAAAAATTACTTGTATACCAATAATCCTAGAAAGCGATATTACTGACCACTTCTCCACTATTTTACTGATATCTTCAAATGAAAAACATTCTAACATCCCTACCGTTAGTAACAACCGGGAAAATTACAAATTTTTTGTCGACAATTCAAAACTAATATCAAATGTCAAACAAGAATCCTGGGAACAATTATACTCTATAAATAATATAGACAAAGCAACGGGACTGTTCATAGAGAAAATAAAAAAACTAATAGATATTAGTACCAATAAAGTAATAATTAGTCACAAAGGGAAAAGCAGAAATGCCTGGATTACCAAAGGATTAATAACATCGACAATAGAAAAAGAAAGACTATATAATGTAATGAAACTAACGCCAACTACAGAGAATACCGACTGTTACAACCAATATAAAAATAAATTTATAGAGCTTGTAAGGCAAACCAAACGAAAACATTACCTAAATAAATTGAATAGTAACTTAAATGATCCTAAGCGGCTTTGGACAACTATTGATGAGATTACTGGGAAAACAAAAGTTAAAGAGTGTGTCACTGAGTTAAATACAACATCGGGAACAGTATTAAAAAATACTCAACAGATATGCGATGAATTGGTACAATTCTTTACTGACATAGGCGAAAATTTAGCAAGTAATATACAAGCAAATGTACAAAATACTCAGCCTCCAAAAAGAACTTTGAACTCATTTATTTTGGATAAAGTCGAGCAATGTGAAGAATACACCACTGTTATGTCCTTAAAAAATCGGAAAAGTCCTGGGTTCGATGGTATTAAAAGCGAGCATTTGAAAATTATAGCCGAGGACATAACAGAACCACTCACTTACCTAATCAACAAATACTTTGAATCTGGCATATATCCCTCAATTTTAAAAAAAGGTAATATAATACCGATACATAAATCAGGAACAAAAACAGATGTTAACAACTATAGACCAATATCAATAATATCCAGTGTAGCAAAGGTTTTTGAAAAAGTTTTATCTACTAGAATGATTCGATACCTCACAAAATTCAAAATTTTAAGTGAAAATCAATATGGATTTACAGAAGGGAAGGCTACATCGGACGCAATAACTAAACTTGTAAATCAAATACATCAAAATATTGATAACAGAATCCCTTCAATCTGCATTTTTGTTGATTTAAAGAAAGCTTTCGACACAGTTAATCACAAATTATTATTAGAAGCATTGGAGAGAATTGGTTTCAGAGGAAACGCGTACTTACTGATCGAAAGTTATTTGTCAAATCGCCCACAATCTGTGCAGATATCAGGATCATTTAGTAAAGAAATGAATATTAAGTGTGGTGTCCGACAAGGAACTGTCTTAGATCCGCTGTTATTCAATACATATTTAAATGATATTTTCCAAATTAATTGTGTTGGCAAAATAACTAGTTTTGCAGATGATACTGCAATATTATATGAAGGCACTGACTGGTCTGATCTGAAAAATGTAATTGAAAATGATTTTATCAAAATTATTCGGTGGTTTAACAGTAGAAAATTAAGCATTAACTACTCTAAAACACATTTTTTACCATTTGGACCTTATGCTAGACATCTGCCAAATTACACAAATTTCTCCTTCAATATTAATGATCAAAAAATGCAAATTAATAGAGTGCCCAACATAAAATACGTTGGAGTGGTCTTGGATCCTCACTTACGATGGGACATCTATGTCAATTATATTTTAAAGAAAGTTAGATTTGTATCCTACAAAATTAAATACCTTGGGAATATATTGACAGAAAAATATCTTCGAACATTATACCATGCACTGATTGAGCCTCATCTCACATATGGTATATTAGCATGGGGAACTGCATGTTCCTCACATATCTATAATTTAGATGTTTTTCAAAAAAGTATTCTAAAAATTATATTTAAAAAACCGAAACTTTATCCCACTGAAAAATTATACGCAGATGTTCGAATGTATGATATAAGACAGCTTTATTTCTTACACAGTATCACTCACTACCATAAATTTGTAAACACCGACCAAAAAATTAAACATAATCATTATACCAGGTACAAAATTCGTGGCACAGTAGTTCCTCAACCGCATAAATCTATAATGCAGCGATCATATCTCTATTTAGCGCCTAAATTTTATGAAATTATACCTAAAGACTTAAAAGATTTACGTTTCGGAAATTGTTTCAAAAGAAATTTAAAAAAGTGGCTGCATTCTATATCTAGGACTGAAATTCATACACTCATAAATACGAACATCAACTAAATACATAATCTACTGTAGCTAATTTTTGTCCTTTTTTGTCATTTGCATTCTACAGTTTCAACTTAAATTTATTGGTCCATGTACAGGCGATGCCTTCTATTGGGCCTGTTTTGATTTTATATTTATTTACTCATATTGTTTGTTATCTTTGTACATTGAGTGAATAAATATTATTATTATTATTATTTAAATGAATAGTTCGACTTCGATATTTACTTAACTGGTCGGAATGTTGGAATACTGATGTGAAATTGTAAAAGAAAAACCTTATTGTAGTGTGTAAGAATCGCACTTAAGTAGCTTTATTAATAAAGACGATATTATTCTTATTATTATAATGTGGCGCTTATGGCTGAATTCTGTCTCATGTATAAGACCAACTTGGTTTTTGCTGTTACAATTACGAATAGAAATAGTATACGTACGCATGGACATTGATATCATTTCTTTTGTTCTAACAGAGAGCGAAACTATGTATGACAAGATAATCAACGACATAGCGATGCAATTCGGCAAAACGTACACGGACGACATAAAAATGAAAATCCTGGGCACACCAGAGAAAGACACAGCTAGAATAGCCGTGACCGAAATGCAACTGCCAATAACCGTAGAAGAGTTCTTCAAAATGTACAAAGCGAAAGTGTTTGTCGAACTGCAGAATCCAGAATTGATGCCAGGCGCGAAGGAATTGGTGAAGCATCTGGCGAAACACGACGTTCCAATGGCGGTCGCGACGTCGTCTTCGCAAGAAGCAATGGAAATGAAGACGAAGAAGCTTCAAGATGTGTTCAAGCATTTTGATCATATCGTATGCGGAAGCACGGATCCTGAGGTGAAGCACGGAAAGCCAGCGCCCGATATATTTCTACTTGCCGCGTCTAGGTTTCCTGATAAACCAGACCCGTCAACGGTAAGTTCCGATTTTCTGGTTTCCCACGCGATGCTGGATCAAAATGGAAAGTTTCATTCTCATAAACACATTTATCACGATGCTTTACATTCACCACATAGGCCGATAGATATCCTAAATCGCCTCCGCTGAGAAATGAACTATCATATTCTGAGCAACCAAAGTGTTGATATAAGACTGCGCAAAGCGCCATCTATCACCAAAATGGACCACTGCGGAGTGTGAGTGGCACTTACTTGATGGCACTGTAAAGATCTTAATTCCCGTTTAATAGCACAGTCACCTTGTGACCGCTAGATGGCTGACGATAATGGCTGTATAGTAGATGTGGACAGAGGATAGTCGCGATGTTTTCATCCTTAGATGTCCAAAGCAGAGCGGTGCGCGCTCGTTGAGTTATCCGTTACGCGTACATTTACATATTTACATACAGGGTGGTCCATAAGTCCTTTGAAATTTCAAATTTGAATAAAATTTAACGGGTGAGCGTGAGCGGCGCGGGCGAGGTGGGGGCAGTATCTTCAGTGTCTGGGAATTCAGTCGCCATGGAGTGTTTCACTGGAGCGGATCGTGCTTTTTGTGTGTGCGCGTTTTATCAAAATAATGATTCGGCAACCATTGCGCGGCGTAAATATCGAGAATACCATAATTTACACAATTTTACAAAGTGTCCAACAGCTCAAACGATTAAGAACTGGGTTGCTAAGTTCGAAGAGACTGGTTCGACGTTAGATAAACAGCGGTGGGGTCGACCAAGGACAACTCGTATTGAAGAAAACATCAACATTGTGGCACAGTCTGTTCGTCAAAATCCTACCCAGTCTACTCGTAAGCGTTCCAGTGCACTAAACGTACCCAGAACATCTTTACAGCGGATTTTAAGGAAAGATTTACGTCTGCACGCTTACAAAATTCAGTTAGTGCAGGAATTAAAAGATAATGACGCTATTCAGAGACTAAACTTTGCGAATGAAATGTTGAATCGATTTTCTTCGCTCAATAATGTGTTGTTCTCGGACGAGGCTCACTTCCATTTAAACGGGCATGTAAATAAACAAAATTGCCGTTATTGGAGCCCCGAAAATCCAAGGCGTAAGCATCAGAAGCCCTTACACAGCCCTAAAGTTACAGTTTAGGCTGCTATATCAGCGCATGGCATCGTAGGCCCTTATTTTTTTGAGGACGACAGAGGTCGCGCATTAACTGTTACTTCGGAGCGGTATGTAGCAATGATAGAAGAGTTTTTGACACCAACGTTGCAGAATTTTCCAGGCTATAATACGCAGACCTGGTTTCAACTGGACGGAGCAACTGCCCACACCTCCAACACTTCTATGCCCGTCGTCTGTCAACTTTTTCCCAGCAAAGTAATTTCTTGAAGAGGAGACATTTCCTGGCCACCACGTAGTCCAGATTTGACCCCAATGGACTTCTTTTCTTTCTTCTCAAGAGTAAAGTGTACGACACCACTCCGCGATCAGAAAGAAAATATCCGAAGAGAAATGGCAAGCATTACAGTGCTGACTTGCCGCGCAGTCATCGACAATTTTAGACGTCGTTTATATGAGTGCCGTGATCGTAATGGATTGCATTTAGACGATGTGATTTTTAAAACATAATTCCCATTCAATAAAGATGATAACAAAATATAATAATTCTTCATAATGTAACTAGTTTGGTTTTATTCCTTTTTTTCCAGCTCAAAGGACTTATGGGCCACCCTGTATAATGTTTGTCACTAAGTACCTACAGGTAAATCCTACGTATCGTTTGTTTGTTGAAGATTTATTTAGCATTTCTGTAATTTTACATTCTTGTCTATTAAAATTATATCGCTATGCATTTTGAGTATTCATGAAGTGACTTTTTAATTTCACCTTGAACGTTTTTAAATTCGAACACTGTCTAACATCATCAATTGATTAAATTCAAATGCCATAATGGTGGCCCGGAAAAAAAGACTATAAATGTTTTGAAATCATTTTCGATTTTGCTTTTTAGTGTATGCCACTGCGTACTTTCATAGAGAATAGCTGCATCATACACAAAACCTATAAGCTTACCAGCACTACTTACTTTCAACGAATCGTTGATAAATAGATTGAATAAAACGGGCCCTAACATTGTACCTTGGGGCACACCGTACGATACGATATGGGGCTCATTAAACGTATTATTTTAAAGGGAAGTCCAATACTACATTAAGCCCGAAAAACGTTTTTAAAAGTGGTTTATTTGTAAATGTCACAGTATTTATCGTCTCTTGTAAACCTCAAAGGTTTTTTAAATGACTAATTCAAATATACAATCAGACCACATACGCCACGTGTGGATATGGTGCACTTCCTTCTCTCACGTATATTAAATTGTTAGGGCACACGGTGTTATTCCCCCATAACAACAGGCTATTTATATTTGTCTAAGTCTCCTGCACATCTATTTTCATTAATCCATTTAAACAATCGAGAACCGTCTCTATCTAAAGCAATTTTATTATTTGTTAATCTTGAACTTTGTTTTTTATCACTACGGATCATTTGTAGGTTTGATACTGATCTAAAAAAAATCTGCATTATGTTGTGTGTATCAGTCCGGAATTCTGAAGGTTGCTTAAAAATAGAATTCCAAATAAATAGTTTTAGTCAGCTATTAGAAATGGTCATATTTCATAATGATCTATGCCAATCTTCACAGTTTATAAAATGTAGATAATAAAAGAAAACAGAAGTCTGTTTAAACAGTATCAAATCCCTAATTAGTTCCAATACAATCAGAAATAACGTTAAAGTAAGCCTGAGATTATACATATGTATATGTCAGCATGTGCTTCATTTAATGTTTTTTTCATTGAAAACCCCTGCTGCTATCTTTTATTCTCCATAGATAAGCTGTATCATTTCATAGTATACAGGATGAGTAGTGAGTACAAAAAAAATTTAGTCAACAGTATGCTCCTGATTTGGAAAATATTTTTGTTCTTCACAGGTTATTTCATAGCCACGTGGTGATCCATATATACTTTTTTTTAATGGAAAGCCCTACATTTTATTACGCTCGCAGAGGAAGCAATTTGATTTTCAAAATTGTCGAGATAGTCTCAACTTTGTCAGCAAGAAAACTTTATGGTTTATTCCCTGTCTACTTAGAGGGAGTGAAAAAGTTGATTCCACGTCAAAAAAATGCTTAGAAAAAATGGCGACTATGTAGAAAGTTCAACGTTTCCAATGAAAAATTCGTTTTTCCAAATAAAAAATTCCCTGAAAAAAATGTGGGGACCTTATTTTTGAGACAACCCTCGTATTTCTCAAAATTTTCGCAAGCTGTTTTCTGTCTTTGGAATACTCGGCTCCGACAGAATATGGAGAGTCCAATACCACATTGTATGTTTACCAATTAGCAGGTGTTTAATTTCATTTATAAATACGCTTCTTATATGTGTAATAAGGCACATATCAAAGTACATTACTCCAATTCACATTTTCCGCTGAAACAACGGTATTATATTTCGGTAACAATAGTTTTATCACACTACATTCAGAAATATCAGTATTATGTAAAGTATTGCATAATTAATAGCATAATTAAGAATCATCAAAATATTCGCCTTTTACGTCTGAAATAAGCTGATAACATTTAATTTGTTTGTATTTTGATTATTATATACAGTGCTTTTCAAAAAGGTCCCCCGTCCTTACTTATTTTTTGAACGGATCAAGTTTTCAAGTTGGAATTTGGGAAAATGAAATTGATGCATATATACTATATTTTAGCGTAGAATTGGAAGATGTCACTTCAAAATGCAATATTTCCTCCCCAGTTTTGGCATTAGGAAGTAAAAAAAGCAATTTGCTCCTAATCTAATATACACTTATTATTATCAAATCAATCTACTTGACAATCCTACGCGCTATTGTGACATCAACTAATAAAATCCCACAGACCTCGCAAAAGTAATACATCTACAGAACAGAACAAATAATGGGGGATATATTGATTCGTTTGAACTTGACCCTTTTTCGTTTTAACTAGTGTGGATGCTATATTTAACTTATTCTCTCATAACGATTTACGTCGACAACGAAAAAATTCCTTTGTGTTCGTAAAGGACACTGATCCTTGCGATTTTTTTATAATTATTACTGTTAGCACAAAGCTTAACGTCTTGTGTAATACATTTCACTATTGCATGATTCAGATTTGTACAAATCATATATATAAATACCTGGCTGTCACTTAAGTTTTACTCAGAAAAACCACAACTTTTTCGTTTGCTTTTGGATGCGAGTCAAAATATCCAAGTTGGCAGTGATTGATGAATAAATATGTAATAAAATGTAATGTTTATTTTTTTCATTTCGTCTTGAATTTGTACGAGATCTCAGTACCTCTAAGTAGCATTGCTTGGTGACCCGATTTTCAGGGGTAGGGGCGTAATAACACTTGAAAGATTTATCGTATTTTGATCTAAAGATTTTCCTATTAGCATACATTTTGTTGATTATCTTTAGTTTAAGTTTATTTACATTTAACATATGTATTACGTTTTTTCATATTATTTAACATCTCTATTGAAGTTTCAATGTCTTTAACATAATTGTATCATCAGCAAATAGATGAATTTTGCAGTGTTGTAAAATATCAGGAATATCGTTAATATATAAAATAAATAGTAATGGACCTAATTTGCTACCCTGTGGTACACCTACCGAAATGTTTTTAATGTTTGATAATGTATAGCCAATTTTGGTTCTTTGACTTCTATTGATTAAATAATTTTGTAATAAGTTGAATACTGAACCTTGAAATCCATAGCAATGCAATTTAGTTAACAATTTCTCCCTGTCAATAGTCTCAAATGCTCTCTTGAAATCTAAGAACAGTGTTACTCTAATTTTTTTTTCATCCATATTTCGCCTCTCTACTACCATTTGAATTGCTGTGTCAGTAGAATACTTTTTTCTGAATCCTGCTTGAAATTTTGTCAATATCTTATTGTCTTCAATATATTCAAAGACTTGTTCATATATAATTCCTTCTAAGAGCGTCTCAACATCTGATGGTACATTAGTAGGCCGCATGTTTGTATATATAAATTTTGCACTTTTGGAACAGGAGTAATTGTAGAATTTTTAATTTTGAAGGAAATTCGCCATACACGAAAACAGTGATTCACTAACAATAATAACATCTCTCCAATAAGGTTAAAACATTCCTTCATAACTATTTTTGAAATATGTTCAGTAGGATTTCTATTCGATTTCAATCTTGTAATAGCTTTTGAAAGATGGGTGATATTGTTTGGATTTGTCTCATAGAAGAATTATAAGTAACTTGCAAGTGACATACATAGATTTGGATCCCCGTCTTCGATTGATTCCACTATCTCATTTATACTTTCTATAAAATAAGCGTTCATTCGTTCTGCAATCAATATTTTTTTGTTTCTATACCATCTTTGAAGCACATTCTTGATAATTCATTCTTCCTACTGGGAGATACAATTTTTTTTAGTGTCTTCCACATCATTTTACTGTTATTTTTATTGCTATCGATTTTGTTTTCATAATATTTTTTCTTTTCGTTCCTCGAGTAGCACCGCTTTTTTTTGTACATACCTTACGTTTAGTTGTTTGTTTTGGTTTCTGTGCTACTCTCCCCATTTGTATGGGATTTTAACCTTTCCAACGACCACCATTCTGTAATACCCTATAGAATATGATGTTATTTGAAGTAAACCAATTTTCTTTTTTCAGTGTCTGGTATTTGAAGACGCCCCGAACGGGATCCAAGGCGCAATTAGTGCGGGAATGCAAGCAGTAATGGTTCCAGCAGACTACATTCCTAAGGAACTGACCAAAAAAGCAACATTGGTTTTGAGATCTTTAGACGAGTTCAAGCCAGAACTATTTGGCTTACCACCGAGAGAATAAAAATCAGCGCACATATCTCTGACAAAGCCGTTCAGAACAAAATTAATTATGTCAGAAAATGCTATTTTTGGAACTTATAGGCATTGTCTGTAACCAAGCTGTAATTGACCATAAAAAACTTGACTTGATGCACTTATTATTTTTACTATAAAGGTTCTTCCAACTTGTTGCAAATGTTGGCAACAATTTAGAAACTGTTTATTTTTGCTTTTCCAAAATATAGTTTTGGAAGTATTTATATCAAATGCTGCTATTTGACATTGACTTGAATGAAAACGGTGTACTAAACAGGGATAAATGGCTTTAGAACAATTTTTAGCACTTAAGTAACACACTTTGCTGCAAAACTATCCATTCCACTATAGTGCTTGTATTTTTTCATGAATTGTGTTACTTTGTACAATGTTTACAATAATTTATTTATTTTTATTGAAAGGCATGACCAAAGCTTTTAGATAAATGTCAGTATTAAGTGAATTTCGAAAGCCATCAAATGGTAACAATATTTGTGATTGTAGATCGAATTCTGTTTTAAAAACAAATAGAAGTTACTATGATATACTTGAGTGTTTTATTTCGCCTTTTTTCTCATTATCCGGGAGTAATGTTTTCCGTTGGCCTTGAAAAAAAAACGATCAAATATTTGCCATGGTTTAGAAACACAGTACTTTTCTGTAAAGGTACTTAAGCTCATTTTATGACAAAGCAAATATTTATCGAATTATTATGGTCTTATGTTAGACCCTCAGATGCATATTACCGAGTTCTCTTATCTTTCTGCATTTATCCGGTTTGACATTATAAGAATGCATTTTGAATCGGATTTCGGCCATAAGTTTTACACTATTTGTCGGATCTTTTTACGTGTGGTCAGATTCTGTAGGTCTCATAAATACCTAAAAATCTTTTTTGAAGAGTTTTTCGGTTTCTGACAACAGTTTCAATTGAATCCCATAAAACCCGTTTTCTCATTCATTGTTGTCGAATAAGAAGTTTTCCCACAAAAATTGGTGTACCTATTTTATGCATCCACGTTTTAAATACCCGCATGAACAAATTGCACCAATATATAACCAGACTTTACAATTATTCCGGGAAAATTTGCTGTTATTGGACAAACCTGCAAAATGGCGTAAATATGAAATTTTAAAGCCCAAAAATGGCGGAATCTCAATCTGAAGAAATAATCGTCTATCCCTAACTTTTTGTTCCATGACTGACAAGAGCTTGACGTACGAGTAACTATTCCAGTACTGAGGCCAGATGTCTTTATTCCCCCGCACCGCCCAAACTACCTTACTTGTAAACTGTTTATAACAGTTTTTCCTTCTTATATTTTTGTGATGTCTACGCCATTGTGGCAGTAAAACATGTCACTGTCAAAATTTGATGGACAAAAAATTAAAAAATCATGCAATTTATGTTTCTGTTTAGTCATATTTCAGCCCGTGTTTGAGCTTAATTAAGCAAAAGCTTACACAAACACTGAATTTTAACTCAGGCATTCAACTAATTAAGAAATGACGGATTATTTCAATGAAATGGGGTGGACTCCACTAGCTGAAGGGGAGACTCCAAATCATTTTCTGCATTTAGCTCGTTTATTCAGGGATTACAATATGTTCGAGGAACTGAACGTGCTAAATGGGGAAAAACTACCACCTCCTGCATCTAGAAGTGCAGTCGAGGCATTGCCTAACGAGAAAATAGTAGAAGAAGGTAGAATAACGTTTTTCTGGTATCGATAGGGTTCCTATTTCAGGACTTGGTAATTGTAAACATTTCTCTTATTGTTTTAATCTATAGCTAGATTTGAGATACCATACAATATCCTCATTTGTAGGATTACAATGTCCTGTATGCTTGAAAGATCACGTAAAAGATGAAACACCCAAAAGGATGCCTTGTAAACATCTGTTTCATAATGAATGTATAATGCCTTGGCTTGCAAAGGTAAGAAATTATTCGCCTTGTTACAACTGATTCTTCTATTACTTCTAGTGGCAAATATTTTCTTATTTTTATTCCAGACAAATTCGTGTCCATTGTGCAGGTACGAATTGCCTACAGACGATGAAGATTATGAAGCGTGGAAGAAAGAAAAGAAGAGGGCTAAAGAAAGGGAAGCTGATATAGAAAATTTACATAATTCAATGTTTTCATAATCAATATAAGAACAAAAGGCATAGGATAACCAATTATCATGAATTAAAAAATTAAAGGTGGTGTGTGCTGGTTTGATTATATTTTCTCTGTCTGGACATGAATCTGAAATCAAAATTGGGAGGAGATGGACAAATATGAGAGTAATTGAGACATCAGAATTAAAAATATTGGTATTTATGGTGGATATGGATCTCTCCGAGACCCTTAAAGCGATGCATATTCACTGAAAACAGCAAAATGTGTAAACTTAATGCCTGAATTACTTTCTTATTTGTCCACTGACCCCCAATTTTGACATTATATTGAAAAAGTATATAAGAAAAACGTAGTGGGATCCCAGGTATAGATACACCACTTTTTTATTATTCAGGCCTGTAAAATTATCCCCAATTATCTCATTTTTTGTGGGTCATATATTAAAATTTTCATCTTTGTGTATCCCTCAAATTTTGTGCATGAGCGAAATTGGATATATTCAAGCTAATTAATCTAATCTCTTGGTTTTGGTAGGTTTTTTTTATGTTTATAAATGAATATCAAATATATATTTATATTATTATTAGTTAAGGATTAATTTATAAATAAAACAAAGTAAATAATACAGATTTTTTTATTATTGAAAAATAAAAATCATAATCACCACATTAAAATATCACACAATCACTTAAACACTAGTAAATTCGATTATCAGTCATCCTATAATTATACAGGGTGTTCATTTGAAAACTTTCCACAACAGATTTATCAAAAACCACTGATTAAAAGAAGACATGTCGAAAGATTTTAACCAAAAACTACTTCACCCTCTGCCTCCCAGGATCAAAATTTCAAATGACGAGGGGTATCGAGGAACTGCTTGTTTGAAAGCTCTTTCAAAGTCCTTTATTTTGACGTAAGAATTCGGTTTCAAGAAAATTAGAAAAATCTTTACTTTACTAATTTGTTCAAAGAGAGAACAAAAACACTTTTCATCTCAATAAGTATTCAAAATGTTGCCCGTTATTGTCCAAACAATGATATAGGCAATGTTCAAATTCCTGACACATTTTCAAAAACATGCGGGATATCAGGCAACTTTCGATGATGCGCTGACTAAGTTCAGAAGTAAACACAAGATTGGCGTCAAATCGGGGGATCTAGGAGGCCATTCTATAGGCCCTCTTCGCCCTATCCATTTGACTGGAAACTCGTCGTCTAGCCATTGCCGAACCGGAAGAACAAACATTAATTTTTTGGGGGACCAAGTTTTTTTGATTTTGGGCTAGTGTGTAAACCATTTTGAAAGTAAAATCTGAATCAATTAATTGTCGCTAACCCAAGATTGTCACAAAGGTAAATGACAGCAAATTAAATTATTATTCCACTTAGCAACAAATAACTAAACAGGTATAACAATAAATCCAGTTCGCCCAGGATGTATGTGTTGCCACAGCCGACGTCAACTACGAACCGTGATGAAAGAAAGGCAACACCGCGCTCGGACGGCATGGTAGTGCTACCTACACTGCTACATACACACACTTTGAAGCTTAGAAAACAAGCTTATCTCTTAATTACAGCCTCTTGGATTAGCAAATCACAAATTGAAAAGGTTATGTTTTCTCAGCGTTTTGAGCACGAGTTGCGTCCAGGGTTGCCAACACTTCGGTAATCAAATCTACTAAATCACACTGCCAGATCTACCAGAAATCTACTAGATGAAAATCATGAATTTCATAAATCTACCAGAAAATCTACTAGTTATAGCTAACCCTCATTTTGCAGTTAATTACGTTTTAGGTTTTAAAGGCGTGTGCGCATATTATGTATTTTTAGTTTTTACTCTAATTTAGATTTTTGGACATATATTATTTCAAATTAGTAATACTATATTGTGAAAATATATTTTGTAAATATTAAAGATAAAGGTAAATCTATAAATAAAAGCAGAACATTTAGTAATATTGCAAAAATATATTTTATCTAGAAACGAAACAAAAATAGACGCATTAATTTTAGTCCTTGCACGAATAATAAAAAATACACTTTCTAAAAATAAAAATAATTCACTATTAATACAGTCAAATCTTGCGTTTTCCTTATGCATTCTTTTAAACTAGGGTCCTTTAACCATGCGTCTCGAAACTTTTGAGTATATTGCGGTTTAGGCATGGTTCTGTAATCTGCAATACATAATAATTCAAAGTAATCTACATCATATATGTATCAGTATCATGCTCACTTACCAAAATCAAATAATTAGGCAGGCAGTCTTAAAATAGCAGAATAGTATGCTATAGCTACTAGAAAGCACACAAATTATACTGTAAGTAATGTTCAAAAATCACCTAAATCATCGTATACGAGATAAACTTCAATTGTCTGTGCAAGAAAAAAACAATGTCTGTGATTCCCGTGGATGATGCTCAGAACGTGACGTGATCAAATCACGTGACAAAAAGATGGCGGCTGAATTTCTCGCGCCATCTACCGAAGGAATTGGCAAACATCATGCAGTTAGTGATGTGCAACCCCAATAGATGTCCCAAAACGAGGCGCAAAATCATTCATCTGACTTTCATACCCCTGATTTCCGACAAAGGAGAACTAAGAGAAGAAGTACGCATACGCAAATTAATTCATTGGTTCTGCCATCTATCGATTCGATGTTCAACTAAATCAAAATAGGATATTTCCCAATGTCAGTTTGCTACTTTCTTGAATTATTACTTCAATTGACAAATTGACATGAGTAACTGAGGTTCATAATGATATAAATCGAAAGTGGCTTACTAATTATTCTGATTCTTTCATTCTACTGGATTTTCTACTAGCCACTAAAACGTAAATTTGCCCACTAAATGAAGACTGCAATCTACCAGATCTAGTAGAAAATCTACTAAGTTGGCAACCCTGGTTGCGTCGATGCAACAAGCAGCGGCGGGAGTAACACTACCACCTACGTTGCCAGATTTATTTGTTCACGGCTCGTAGTTGACGTCGGCTGTGGTGTTGCTGAAGAGAATGCGGAAAAAATTCGGGTTGTTATTTGGTTGTTGCCACGTGTAATCGTCCGAATTGCTGTTTATGTTGGCAGTTTCCGTTTTAAATTATAAACTAATGGTAGATCTGGCAAGCCCTAACGGGCAATATGTTGGACACTTACTGAAATAAAAAGAGATATTTTTGTGTGTTTTTGTTTTCTATCTGAACAATTTAACATGAATAAAATTTTTTCTAATTTTCTCGAAAACGATTCCACTGATTTTCAAAAATCAAATATCAAAATAAAGGACTTTGAAAGGCCTTTCAAACAAGCTATTACTCGATACCGCTTGTCATTTAAAATTTTCAAGGGATGACCCTGGGGGGCCGAGGGTGAAACTTGTTTTTTTTATACTCCAACTGCCACGAAGGCCTAAGGCCAAACACCCATGGGGTGCCATGGGGCTGTGGGGGAACGCCACACGGACTCTGACGAGGGAATGATACATGCATACATTCTGGCCCCGCCTACGAGATCCGCCGGGTGGTACCTCCGCGTTCGACAGTCAGAGACCGTCTACCACCTACGGACAATCACAACATCTATAGCAAGTGAAAAATTCTCTTGGGACGGGATTCGAACCCGCACAGCGACTGATCAGGAGACCGAAGAGTCTACTACTGCGGCCACCGCTGCTGCCTATGTTTGTTGTTGAAGTAGTTTTTGGTTAAAAAGTTGTTCCTCTTGACAACCTTTTGACGTGTCTCTCTTTGAATCAGTTTTCGATAAATCCGTGGTGGAAAGTTTTCAAACAAACTCGCTGTATATTACACGTTTTGTACCTTATTTCTGTGATTGATATTTATTATAAACTAGTAATAAACACGTAAAACGTTTATGATTACGAATACTGTTGGTTGACATTCATTGTAGTGCCTTACTATTGCAATATTTTGAATACATCTTTAGAAATCACATATATTGGAATATCCAGCTACAATTCATAAAGCATTTAATACAATCATGATTATTTACATTTATATCATGCAAAGGTCAAAAGTGTTTTGACTGGTAATATATTAACTTGACATTTAACAGAGCTAACAACCCGTCTAACATGAAGTTGTGTTTTCCAAATATACGAACAACTTAAAAAATCATCACCCTGTACTTTAAAAAAATTAACAATCTTGAACGTTTTATGTTGAATAGAGGAAACGATAAATATAATCATTTCTGTGGAAACCATACGAGAGCCTACTCAAAAAATCCATTCTATTTGACTCATTTGGCATTACAGTCTGACTTCTTCGTCCTGATAAAAAAATCTCACTGCCCCGAAATTGAATGATAATTCTTTGATGTTTAAAAATTTAATAGAGTCTACGAGGGATGTCTTTTAAGTTTTACATATAGAACGTCCGAACGTCAGTACTGAATCTTAACCTCACTCTAAATTCAAAGTTTCACAACAATACGTGCAGTGTTCACACTACAGTGAATTTTAAAGTGTCACCAACGCATTAGAAAAATGGAACTCAACCGAGAACATTTTCGCGCCATAATTTATTACAACTTTCGGAGACAATTATCGCAACAAGAATGCCTTGCTGAGTTACTGTCTGTTTTCGGCAACGAAGCGCCACATCAGTCGACAATTCGTTGGTATGAAGAATTCAAACGTGGATGGGTGAGTCTTAGCGACGATCCCACGGTGGGTGCACCAAATACGGCAGTCACCCAGGAAAACGTCGATGGTGTGCGCAAACTCATCATTGAAGATAGACATGTGACATATCCCGAGATTGAGGCGTCCTTGAACACCTCAAAGACCTCAATTCAAAAAATTTTGCATGAAGAATTAGGAGTAAGAAAATTAGTTTTTCATCCTACACCAAGACAATGCAAGCTCGCACACACCCAAAGAACAAGGCAGTATTTAACGAAAAAAAACGTGGGAATTATTGACCCATCCTCCATATAGTCCCGATCTAAGTCCTAACGCGTGCTTACTTTCCCGAAAATTAAAAACAGACTGCGTGGTCAAAGGTTCCAGTCACCAGAAGAAGCAGTTGACGCATTCAAAAATGCCGTTTTGGATCTGCCAGCAAACGAGTGGAATATGTGCTTCGAAAATTGGTTCTAGCGCATGCAGATGTGTATTAATCTTCGTGGTGAATACTTCGAAAAACAATAAAGTCATTTAAAACTACCTACCGTGTTGTTTTATTTCCATATGCAAAACTTAAAAGACATCGCTCGTATTACCTATTGAAAAACATACCCAATGAGGATACGTACGCCAGTGCTGAATGAGAAAGATAAGAAAATCAACAAAAAAGAATAGCAGTGTTGGTCAGCATCATAGCATTTTGAAAAATATTTTTTTCAAGTTATTAGACTTCTTACCAACCCAAAAAATGCTTTTGGTGTTAAGCCACTGGAATACACCCCTACATTAAGGATAGTAACTTGGATTTGTTCAGTCAAGCTGTTTAATTGCATAGCAAAATTCATAAATTCGGTTTAATGTGAAAGTAGCAAATTTTTACTACACGTTCAATGAGTGCTTCAATCTTTTCTGGGGCGCAATAAATTCCTCCATGCAACAGTAGATTTCTAATAATTGAGGAGATGAGAAACATAGTTGCGACAAGTTCTGATAAATGACGCCAGGACATCTCATTGCATCCCGGGATAATTTCTTGGATGTCGAAATGCATGGGCTGGCCATCTCCATTTAAAACACGTTAACCAATAGAGATACATACTAAGTAATGGAAGAGTGACTGATGTCATATTACGCGATTCTTATCACTCTCAGTTTATAAACAAGATCCTATTCAACTTTGGTCTGTTAGATTTTCCTTTGAGTGCAGAAGACTGGAAAATCGAATTGAGGATCCTTTTATATCACATGGTTGTTACTTAAAAAAACCGTGTGTTTCGCGCGGACGTGGCTGCGGAGAGTATCTATACGGCTGTACGTTGCTGGACAATACGGGCAGAAAGATCTCTGAGCAGTGTGAGAATGGAAGTGATGCCATCTGTTTGTCACCTGAAAAAAGAAATAACGCTACGTCAATTATCACTGTTCAACACAAATACCTATAAAAATATCGTGTGATTTGTAACATTTGGACATACTAATATACAGGGTGACGGGAAAATAGATGCGGAGCCGATGGGGGGTGATAGTACAAGCCAATCTGAATCGATTTTACTATAGGAAAATTAGCCTTATTCGAATTATACTAATTTTTAAGATTTTATAAAATTAACGTCCTTTAACCAAGTCATGAAACTTGAAAATTGGGTGTTTCATTTGATTTTTTTGTTTTACAATAACAATATTCTAAAATACGAAAATTGATACTCAAATGTACCGCCTCTACCGATCCATCGATTCGGAAACTGTTTCCGAATCCCATGGCCAGCACGCAGTCCCGATCTCACACCTATTGACTTTTTTGTGTGGGGTCGCATGAAAACTTTAGTATACTTTGATCAAAATCCTGTACCAACAATAGAAGACCTCAGAAACAGGATAATACATGCGCAGCACAAGAAATTCAAGCCTCTCTTAGGAATTCGGCGGTAGTAAAATCAGCTGTCATAAGAAGAGCACGTGTTTGCATCAGAAATAGAGGGCGCCATATTGAAAATGAATTATAAAAATAAAAAAATGTAGTTTCAAACAAATTATCCTGTATTAAGGTATGATTTTGAACGTGTACTATTTTTATTGCTTTTTCCTTTTTCCTCTTATAATAGTCATATTTTTGCCAATTTTTAATCGATTTGTGATTCTTATACCTCATTTGAATGATAATGAAACGTAGATGTTTTCTAATTATTTTGTACGAAAAAATTGTATGCGACTTTTTCTAGTAAATTGAAGCTTTTGAGATGAACGAACATTTTTTTAACAAAAATCGAACTATTTTGAAGCTTACCGCATGAGATAACGTCAATAATGTACATTTGAGTATCAATTTTCGTATTTTAGTATATTTTTATTGTAAATCACAAAAAAAAACAAATGAAACACCCAATTTTCAAGTTTTATGACTTGGTTAACGTATAAAGGACGTTAATTTTATAAAATCTTCAAAATTAGTATAATTCGAAAAAGGCTAATTTTCGGACAGTAGTTCCTAGAGTACAATCGTTTCAGATTGGCTTGTACTATTTCCCTCCACTGTATAGGGTTTTCCAATAGGGACTTGACAACTTTGTACTTTCACTGTAAACGCACCTTTAAATCAGTTACTTCTGCGGGCGCCCATTTTGCCATAATTCTTTTGGGTTACTTCTCGCACTGGGTTAACTTTGATAATAAGCTCAGGGCCGTATCGTCAGTTGTTTCGTGATTTTCGTAGTTTTCTACTGATCCGTTTCAGTGGTCTATTTTGAGGTTATGCAAATACCTATTTGCATCAAATTGTTCATGCTTTTGATTTATATCAACCTGAAATTTCCTACATCTGAAAAAGAAAAGATAGCCTCGCAATAGAAGAGCTCTGACGCTGACACAGAACAGTTAAAATCTAGAAATACCCCAGCCTTTCTGAAGGAGAAAAAATACTGTGAAAATCAAAGAGGCCATAAAGGCGTCCTACAATTGTAGAAACGACTAACGATACTGCCCCAAACGTCTTCAGAACTAGTACAAATTGCTAGAATCCTCATACTTCTACCTCAGACATCACCTGGGTGCAAATTTTTAAATAGGGTTACATACCTCCTTTCCGCAAGCCTTGCATCTCCACAGCAAAACGTTCGATGAAGACGGCTCGAACATTTCTACGTACGATAGAGTGTTTCCTCCGTTATTACCGTTGACGGGATGATGATGTACTGCGTGATCTATACAGAAAAATGAACGGGCATTTAAAAATAATCAGTAATAGCATTATCTTTATCTTCCGATTCGCACAAAAATGCTGAGGCTGAACGGCAAAAAACTCGAATCCGAAAACGAGACTGAGACGTCTAAAATTTACGCTTCTCGGGACTAAAATACTGTCTTTATCTCATCCGCACCGAGGATCTTTCCAATTTTAATCCAGGCATAAAAGAGAGGTTGTCGGCCCTGAAAATAACTCAAATTTTAAGTTGATCATAACGACGAAATTTTTGCATTAAAGTTTTTTAAACTTTCATCAACGTTTTTCTTATTTCACTACTTGAATGTTCTTTGAAGGCCCAAAGTTCGCAATTTGACGTTTTGTCCAAAATGCACCTAATTTTCGAATAGTTACCACATACTTCCCGAGAACGGCAGGGGTATTATGAAAAAACCGCCAAAATCTCATTTGCAGACTTGGCAGTTTTTAGTCTGAAAATAGTTCATTCCACGTTTCCTCGCTATGATCACTGAGAGCGTCATCATAAGCGTCCATCTATGGAGGAATCATTCAACGACAGAACACGCACAAGCATGCATTGGGTCCGCATCGCTGACTCGAGAAAGGTCTCGCGAGCCCTGAAGCGGCAGTCTACACTTTTCGAGGTCACTTCGCGTCGATCTAGAAGGCGAGTCACTGGCACGGTCCTCACAGATGTCGCCAAGCGGCATGTGCGGTAGTGATCCACGTAAACACAGAAAAAAACTGCTACACTTTTCACGATACGTAATACCCGTGCGGGATGAAAGAAACGACCGTTTGTATTTACGTTTTTAGACATTGGGTTTTTCGGTGAAAGTTTGAATCGGGCAAAAGCATTTTCTTTCTTGTTCCGCCTCGAAAAATCCATTAGAGCAGGCGTCAAATTCCGACACCCATATCATTTCTTTTTTATCATCTCCCTTTGAATTGTATCGACACCTACCGAGTCTCTTGAACCAAATTTACTTTCCTGGATACGGCTTTTGTCTTTAACAATTGAATCCAAATATTTAGGCTTCGCCTCAAAGGTTGTTGCTTGGGTATACAGAAAAAAAAACAGTATCATACGAAAACTTTAATGAAACGTTCATGCCTTATACAGCGATTACTTAAAAAAATCATCAGACACTATACCCTGATCATGATATTTTGACACGTTTTGTTTTTTATATACATGCAGTCCATGTTATCACACTAGATAATGTATATTACATAATAATAGAATAATAATTTTAATCCTATATTGTACTGCATGTAGTTATCGATAATATTGAACCGTCAGATTTTTTGTACTACTTGTTCAACTACTGGCATACAACAGATTTTAAAACAAAATATTGCAACATACCAGGAATAATTTGCCAAATATGACCCAAAAAATTATCCATATTCAATACCTCAGCTCTAAGAATTTCGCATAGGTGTGCTCGGAAAGTGGGATAATGTATCACGACTTGTTTGTCTCCAAAATCTAAGTGTTTAGTCAGGATGAGAGTATTATTTTTTAAAAGTTCGAGCGTCTGCGAATAATTGTGGAGTTAAAGGAATTCAGGATATAGTGGTGTTATGTTTATACAACGTTGTCTCTTTGGTAGTAAAATGAGCCAAAAGTATGCAGTAAAATTACGCAATTTTGGCGACAAACAATTCAGTATAAACATACAGGGTATGTACCATTAATTTAACAGACGATTCTTTGAATAATTTTAAGACAAAAAGTTCATATAAACTTGGTCATTTCGAAGATTTATAATCAAGATTTATGCAAAAACTAACTAACACTTTTTGGGTCACATTTCCGGTAAAAAAAAAATCGAACGATGCTTAGTCTGATATCTGTTTCCTAAAAAAAAACAGTGACACCTGATTTTTCTGACATCAAATACACACGATTCGTTTTTGAAACATCCACTATGTACAAATTTGTGTACAAAATATACATAGGTAAATGATTTTCACTATAGACTAGCTATAAAATATCTTTGGCAACTCTCTGTTAAAATTAAACTAAAACTGACTAGCTGAAAAGGTAACTTAACTACAGTCTATAATAGTACGATCTATTTCAAAGAATGATCATTGAGCATACGCACAATATCAAAAATCGTTGATGAAAAATTGACACAAGTCTAATACTCATAGGATTCCACAATCTGGCCGAATCAAATTTTGTATATGTTCGAGAAATCGCTAATCGGGTGATCGGTTCCAAGATAGCCGAAATCACAACAAGGGCAGTTGCGAACCAGTGGTCCAGCGCTATATCCACGAAGTTTTACAACCACATCTGCTTCCCGTTTTGGAAACATTCCAAGATCTACTTTTTTTAGCAGGACAATGCACGACCTCATGTCGCATGTGTGCTTTACAATCACTTAATTTAATCAATGCTGCGACGACTTAACGAATGTGTAGCGAACAGAGGAACTTCAACACATTATCAACGTTAAGGTGGGATATCTCAGATATTTTGCCAAATTTCGGGTTGAAATTTTAATCACTTTCTATTTATCAGTAGACCTAAACCTTGTAAAAGTATGCTCAAAATTACAGCACTCCTAGGCGGTGTTGCATTTTCTATTTCATTTCGTAAATGAATGTACATAGAAAACGCAAAATTTTGCGAAATGAGGGGTCAAACTATGCTGGTGACTGATTTTCTAAAATAAATTGCACTGACCAACAGCCAAAAAATATCCTAAATAAAATCAACAAAATATTACTATTTTTAATATGCTAAAACCGGAATGAAACTTATTTTTTCAATATTAGTTCAAGTTTTAGAGATACGGTAATTATATGTGTAAACTGTTGTGACAGTGTTAATATACTGTAATTCACAAGAATGCACGTGCTACATTTTTATATTCGGCAAGGAAAGATGATGTAATCGGCATGATTGTGTTACGTTATACATACGTGTACATTATATTGTTTTATATTAGCCATTTTTTCCTCAGTTGGCTGACAGCGTTCATGCAAGATGTCTCGAAAGTGTGTAAACAATCCAGATCAGTTTTGTTACGTGTGTGGTGATGTGACTTTTGCGTCTCAGAGACGGTCTATTACTCCACTAATAACAAAGGCATATCAGCTTTATTTCGGTTGTAAACTAGGTGATCAAGACAAACAGTGGGCACCCCACATCTGCTGTAATACTTGTGCTTCAAGTCTGAGGAGCTGGTTAAATGGCAAAAAACGGCCTATGCGCTTTGCTGTTCCAATGGTTTGGAGAGAGCCTACAAATCATATTAATGATTGTTACTTTTGCATGGTACCTTGTGTTGGACAAGCCACAGGTATGTCCAAGAAAAAAAAAATCGGTTATTAACTACCCAAACATACCATCTGCGATGAGACCTGTGCCTCACAGTGACGAAAATCCTATTCCAAAACCCCCAGAATCCTACACTTGCGAATCAGAAAACGAATCAGATCATGGCGATCGAGTGATTCGTCAGGAAGAAGATATGCCATCAACGTCAAGAGATCCTGATTTTATACCGAGCACGTCATGCCACCAACCGCACAAAATAACAAAGTCAGAATTAAATGATCTTGTAAGAGATTTAGAACTTCCAAAATGTAAGGCAGAGTTACTTGGATCAAGACTGCAGCAGTGGAACTTGTTAGAAGACGATGTTTTGGTATGTGTTTTTCGTAAACGCCACAAAGACTTAGAACCATTTTTCAATATGGAGAATAACTTGGTTTTCTGCAGTAACATTAACGGCTTACTGGCGGCTTTAAATATAAACTATAACCCAGAAGAATGGAGATTGTTTATAGACAGTTCAACATTGAGTTTAAAAGCAGTGTTATTGCATATTGGAAATATTTTACCATCTCTTCCTGTAGGGTATGCAGTTCACATGAAAGAATCATATGACAATATGAAGTACCTATTGACATGCATAAAATACGATGAGCACCAAAGGCATATTTGTGGCGATTTGAAAGTTGTTGCACTTTTACTTGGGCTGCAGCTAGGCTACACAAAATTTTGCTGTTTTTTGTGTGGATGGGACAGTCTGGCCTGTTCGTCAATTCCTAGAGCCAGGTCAAAAAAATGTACAGCATATGCCATTAGTAGATTCGAAAAAAATTTTATTGCCACCACTGCATATCAAGTTGGGCCTAATGAAAAACTTTGTTAAGGCATTAGATAGAGATGGGTCAGCTTTTCAATACCTGCGTCAGAAATTTCCAAGACTAAGTGAGGCAAAGGTTAAAGAAGGATTTTTGTTGAGCCACAGATTCGAAATATTTTGAAAGATACACAGTTTGAAAACACTTTAACAGGTATTGAAAAAACTGCTTGGAATGATTTCCGTCTGGTGGTCACTAATTTCTTGGGAAATAGAAAAGCTGACAACTATAAAACCCTTGTCAAAAATATGCTGTCATCAAAAGATGGGCTGTAATATGTCTCTTAAGATACATTTCCTACACTCACACCTGGACTTTTTTCCTGACAATTGCGGAGCCGTAAGTGATGAGCACGGCGAACGTGTTCATCAGGATATTTCAACAATGGAAAAAAGATACCAGGGAAAGTGGAATCCTACCATGCTTGCAGACTACTGTTGGACTCTTGGTAGAGATGCTCCAGAAACGATCCATAAAAGACCAGCAAGAAGACAGACAGCGCATATAGTGATTCTTATAAGTATATGAATCTTGTTACTTTTTTTAACATATCCTTAAAAATAAAAAGTTTTTTTCTAAACCGCAACTAATTTTTTTATTTCATTGTCATTTTTGGATTCAGCGCCCCAAAATTAACAAAGAAGTGCACTTTTCCCACAAGATACAATTAAAAAACTAAAATTTGTTGTCCAGTGTTGTTAAACAACCCCAGTCTCTTAAAGAACCGCTTATATGGTCATATTTTCTCAAATTTATTAGTCTGCAATATGATTTTTTATTTTATTTATTATAAAAACGTGAAAGAAATATTGCATCCAAAAATGGATTG